GGCACAGCCCAAAAAACCGTCCGTGTGAACGCTCGGCTCGAGCCAAATCTGGCGCGGGCCTAATTAGGCTCGGGCCAAAAACGTCTGTGTGAACGCGCCTTTAGTCAACGCAGGGTCTAGCACGTGATTTTTGCTCCTGTGAGAACGGAACAATGTCTCTACACTATTACTATTAGTATTACTGTCCACTGAAGGCTATGAGTTAAAACCCCGGCCGGGGCAGTGAATTTTATCAATGTGTAAAAACCTGGCTCTCAACATTGGAGACTGAATCTCCCGTTGCTCGGATGACCACGTAAAATGGCGGTCTTGTCTCCAGTAATACTAAGGCCAATGGGGACGTAAAAGAACCACTAACAGTGAGGGCGTAAAAATACTCTGGCTGTGATCACCCTCGGTGCCATTTGGCTAAAAGGCGAACTACCTGGCTTTACCCAAGCTAGGCACACCCCATGGCTAGCTATAGCCCTGGACATTTATTCCTTACGGACTGTCCAGTATAGAAGTAGAAGTATGATTACCTTTGTATACATTTTGAGAGAGGTATCAGTCTATAAATATTTGCGTCGCGTAACTAGGTCCATTTGTTTTGTGGTAGCGTTTGAACATTCCATTCTCGAGAATCTGAAGATGGGGGGGCACACTTTTGCAGTTTGGCACGTTTTGCTGTTGATTTACTGTGTTATAGCCTATAACACTAACAGCACAAATTCGTTGTGATTGTTGTGCCGGAGTAATCAGTAAAAACTCTACTAATAGGTGAGACCCAATTTTTCTACACTTATGCAGCTTTCCGATTTATTCGTAAGATCTAAGTCGTTCTAGAATTAGCTCTAAAACTATAGCCCTTCGCTCTGCCACAGGACTTCCACTAATCAAACTAGAAATGTTTCAAAACTTTCATGTTCTTGTTATTTCCTGTTATTACATGTACGAAGCTCTTGTAGGGTTTTATTTATCACTCCTGTGGTGAACTTATGGAACTTCTCAACTATCTCTGCAACCGTTGGTTTCGAATGAGCAAAGGTGAACCCATTGTATATTTTACCCCAGGTGATCAATTTGTCCGGTCATTTTCCACTGTCTATTGATTTTAGTACTGTAATTTGCTCACTGCTTCCACCATCTTTCATGAGATGTATTTAGCAGAAGAGACTGCACAGAAACGCATACTTCCTTAGGTAAGATTCTTTATTAGAATGGTGCAAACAGTAACAGCAGCAAGCAATGGTGACAGGTCTTATCACCTGACTGATTATGTGAACTGGGAGTAGGTATATGAACTAAATATAAGCTGGCCTAACCAGGAAACAAAAGTAGTCTTAACATTAGTCTTAACATTAACTTCCACTCGTAAATCGTTGACAGAAACATCGCAAAGTTACGAGAATGAAAAATCATCGAAAATATTCTCTTAACATTACGAGAGCCCAGACCCTTTCGTAACTTTAATATTAAGATGAAAATAACACATTTACACTACGAATTACAATTATAGTTATATTATATTTTATAATACTGAATAAAATGTGTTTTTCTTGAAAAACACGTCAAAATAATTAATTATCTACTGATCATAAAACAAAACAAAACATTTACAAATGGCGTATGGCATTTGTACTCTTGTTTTAACTACTTTGCATTTGCCACGACTCTCGCGTCTCGTGTTACAGTGCGAAAATTTGTCTTGTTGTGCAGAATAAATTCATGATCACGTCGTTTTTCATCAAATATTATTTATATGTGGTTAGCCATCATAATATGTATAAATTACTGTGATGTACAATAAATGTGTATGAATTTGAATTTTGTGATCGATTCTCATCCAATCAGCAGCCTTGTGACATGAAATTATGACGTTTCTGTTATCGTGAGTTTGCTTGTAGCTACGATGTGTTTCTGTCAACACTACTCTCGTAACATTAACATTAGTCGTAGGTATTATCGTAACATTAACATTAGCATTAACTTTACGATGTTTCTGACAACGGCCCCCATGTCGTTCATGTAACAACCTCCACAATCCACCTATGCAGCATTTCTTGCAGAAGTAGCAGGGCTTTAATGATTTGTGTGAAATGGTGGGGTAAAAAATGCATTAACTTTGTATCTTGATGCAACACACCTATGCACAAATTAACGATAGGTTTCAGCCGTTGCTTCTTGTGGCCGACAGTGCACGTCTTATTTCCTAAAATCTCACCTGGCAGCTTGATGGTTGAAAACTTTTTGTGTACTTGAGTTTTTGAAGAATTTCTGATATGGTCCCAATTGAACAACACAATCTGGTGGTGCACACTGCTCCTGGTAATTGAGTAGATATTGCATTATGTCATGCTTAGGGTTTGTGCTGTAACTTCATTTATAATTATCCAGTTTTGTCCAAACATAGCCTAAGTGATTCACATGTACCTCCGCTGATACTATAACAGCAATTTATTGGGCATCAATAGAGTCAATGAAGCTCTCTTTATTCAGAATCTTGTTTATTCTGCCTCAGCTTAGTCTTAATGGATTACAAGGGATCGTTGTACATACATGGTAGTTGTGGATTCACAATAGCTGAAACTAGTCTACCTAAAATCGACATTGAAACAATTGTGCTGTGGTAATGAAAACTTATAGATATTTTTGCATGATAGGGAATTCCAGGCGTACTAACAAGTGACCATGGTCCACAATATGCTTCATCGAAGTTAGTTTTTTGCACGAAATTATGGCTTCTGTCATCACATGACATCACCACATTTTTCACAGGCAAACAAAGTTATTGAGAGAAGGGTCAGACAGACTGATGATATCTTAGCCCATAGTGATCCTCATCAAGCTCTAATGACATATAGATTAATGTCATTTGCTATTGCTATTTTTGGACCTAGCAGGATAACTATCGTTCATGTTATAACCCAAACCCTAAGAGTGTCACATAATGCAATATCTGCTCAACCACTAGAGGGCACTGTATGTCGCCAAGTGGTGCTGTATACCTTATCGCATATTCTTCAGGAACTTTCATAGCATGTGCTTGCAAGGTTTTACAGTCCTTATAAGTGCACAATGTCCGTTTTTAGCTCACATTGACATCGTCAAGATGAGCTATTGCCATGGGGTGTCGTACGTCCGTTCGTCTGTCCGTCAACATTTGGCTACGGTCAACGATAACTTGAAAACCATTTGATCCACATGTTTCAAATTGCATACAGTTGTTACTCCTATGGGAGAGATGTGAACGTCCTATTTTGGAGCACGGCAGTTGACCTACTTTTGAGCCACGCCCACTTTTTGGCAAAAATGGAAATGGCCATGTCAGTTCAGGTTCAACGGATTTTGCTAATTTTTTGTATGTGAATGAATAAGGACTGGCCCCAAAACATAACACACGGGTTTTGATATTTTTTTTAAATTATGCAAATTAGGTAGATTTTGCCAATTTCACTATGCATTTCAGTGTCTGCCTATGGTCAACGATAACTGAAGAACCATTTGACCCACATGTTTCAAATTGCATACATTTGTTACTCCTATGGGAGAGATTTGAACGTCCTATTTTGGAGCACGCCAGTCGACCTACTTTCGAGCCACGCCCACTTTTTTGAAAAAATGGAAATGGCCATCTAGATTCATTCGATTTTGTTCCTACCTAAATAAAAAAAAACCTAGGTAAAATTACCTACTTACCTACTTACCTACTTACCTACATACCTACCTACCTACCTACCTACTTACCTACCTAATCATACCTACGTGTAATATTGTGTTTTATATTCTTCGTTACAGTAATTTGACTGGAATATTTTATTGCTTTTATTTGTGTGATAATCGAAAACCAAAATGGCGATCATTTAGGTGTAGCACCATCTCTCACCCAGATTTCAGACTTTCAGATCTGAAACATTTAGGATTTTCGCATAAAACTTAACCCTGAGACAAAACAGTGAAATTTCTAATAGTAGTATAAAACAGGGAATAAGGAAATTTGATCACATTTTGAAAAGTCATAAATGAAACACTTGCCAAATTTTAAATATCATCTCCCTCTTCTATCACACCCAAGGTGAGCTATAGTGTCATTGACACTTTCATTTATTTTTATGTGCTTATCCTCTGTACTAATAATGGTACATTACACATATCAAAGATAAACCTGTCTGACGTATTGGCAGCTGGCTGTATGTTTATTACATACGTTTTATTAACAACAATTGAGTATTCTAGTGCTAGTTTTTGTATAAAATAACCTGCTCATACCTTTTTTTAAATAATAGAATTCATATCATGTCATTATTTGCAAATTATGTGTGGTCGAGTTGTGTTATCACGAGTTGTGGTGATAATTTAGAAATTACGTATATATCTGAGTTTTCCTAATTGGTGCTATAACTTTACTGCTGATTTCACTTGTTCAGTAGCTTTTAGCAGTTATGTTATTTGACCTCATTATTAGTCTGTGTCACATCTGGCTACTTCGCCAGTTGCAGTAAATTGTTGGTACAGATACTGTGTGGTAATGTCGATCACGTGTTCCTTGGTCTTCTACGTAGATAGCCTACTTTTCCTTGCATCGGTTTGTGTAGTAAAAAATTTAGAATGTATTGCAGTTAATTAATTACCTGAGCATGGTAAGCACATTCTATTTACATCTCTGTTATTCTAGTCAAATATGTTCTTCATAATGAACTTCATACCATCCCCTAAAAAAAGGCTATTTGTGTGTTATAAAGCACTTTCTGAAAATATTTACATGTGTATAAATATCTAGGAGGCAGTAGTTGGTCCACTAAAGTCCTCTGCCTTAGCAAATTTTTGCACCGGGTTTGTGGGTAGCTGCCGTGAGCTGTGTGTTCGCAACTCACATAAAATTGTTTTGTAAATCGGCTTCCATCATCTGTTTACATAACTGGAGCAGGGCACTGCTAGACGTGGCCTGCGTCATGAGCGCTGCAGGCTCAAGCTCCATGAGATTCTATTCTGGTAACACATGTGTGCGGCCCTTTAACCGCCACTCATCGGATGGGTTTCTCTGCCCTTTCAGTATTCAGTGACGAACATCGGTGAATCACTGCGAGCGTGTATATGCTGGTGACGATCATATTCGCTACTGTTCAGGCTGCCCACAAAGAGACTGGTCGTGTGTCATTGTGATCTATTGTGTGTCAAGTGAGGTAAAATCGTGGGTCATGTGCTACGTGAAGAGTAGCTGCTAGGTCCTGCGTCCTGTGATGCTTATTGTGTAGTTATTAGGCTATTGCTGTAGTTGAGATTTTTGTCACTGTCTATGGTGATAGGGTTGCTAGTCGCTGAGGTAGGGGTGTTCTTCATGCATTCTTGTGTTTGAAGGTGCCATATATCCTGTGTTGAGTCATTTTTATAATGATACCCTAGCCTATCCAAATTATAGTATAACAGATATCTTTTATAGAACCATGGAAGGCTGGCTGGCAAGTTCTTTGCAAATCGCTAGTGTAGAGCTCTGTGTGCTTTGCACTTCTGTATTAGGGTGTCACTGTGTATATAGGCTTGTGGTAGAAGTTGCGACATGGCAATTTTGAAATTTAAAGGATGATATAGAGTTCTTTTACCATGCATGTATATCTGTGGGTGGGTGTGATACCCGTGTTTTATTTCTCAGTAACGGGTTAATTTTAATTGATAACTATTATATTAATTCAGATAGAAAATGGAGTCGTTTAAAGCTGACAAAGCTGCGGTGAATGGAGATACTGCTGAGCAAAACTCCATAGAAGGTAAAAAACACTTCATTTTTCCTAAATAGCATGTGAATTACAAATTGGAGATTTTTCTACAGTAGGTATATAATTTATGTCTGTAGCTCTATAGTAATGGCGATCGAATGTTGTTATAAATTATGTATTTAATTATGAAACTGGTCAATAGGGACAGACAGTGGCGTGAGCCCGTCGGACAATAGAAGCCCAGCTTTGACATGCAGTGTGCGGCCAAAGCAGCTATCCCCTGTGTACAAAGTGCAATTCTCAAACGAGGAATTGAAGGCAAGACTGACTCCCACCCAGTATAATGTGACACAGGAGAGAGGCACAGAGAAGTAAGTGCTATTGAGTTTAAAATTCCTGGAATGAAGTTCATTGTATATGATACAAACATGTGGATACTAACAGTGGAGAGTCTTGGTTTACACCATCCGGAAGAACTGCAAGACACATTAACCCTTGGTGTTATTGTCTGTTACTCACAAACAGTCTGTTAACACTCTCTCTTAACACTCCTCTCACAAGAGGCAGTGGTGTTACACTTGATCGTTATCTGTTACCTCATAAACACAGGACACTGTCTAACCAGCAGTTTGGCAGCATGCCAGATTGTAAGTGTCAATGGCTTAAGCTGGGTTTACACTGACGATTTTTAGTTGCCGAATTGTACGAACTTTGCAATTTGGCAACTGACAATCGGTAGTGTAAACGCAAAAGTCAGACGTCCGACTGATCGATAGCAGCGAGTTGGGAGATTAGAACATGTTCTAATTTCGCCAACTCGGAGTAGCCGAGTTGGACGTTTTTTTGCCAAGTGGCCAATCAGAGAACAGCAATCAGGGGGGTGTCCCTCCACCATAGGGGGAGCACGTTTTTGCTTTAGGCGCCACGCTTGCGGCATGGAATACATGCAAAAATGCGTATCCACGTCGCCCCGCACGGACTCTACGGGTCAAGTGTTGAAAGGTTTGCCGCCTCGCGGTCGATAACGTAAGAGCTTTGTCATATATAGCGAGGTCGGTAGAAAGAATAAAAACGCCAACTTGCCTGCATAAAATCGTCCGTGTAAAGCCTGCTTAAGGGCCAATTAACATATATCTTTATTAACTAGACCCGGGCCAATAATCTGTTTCATTTCAGTCATTTCAAGTACTTGTCCAACTGATGGTGAGGGGTTTTAAATAGTTATAATTGACTTTTTTCTATCACATTGTATCTAGATTTCTAAATGATTTAGACAACACGTCTATAGGTTAGTGTCAACTCATTTCATGTTGATGATGTGGGAATATAATAATACTATTAACATAATAAATAATCAGGTTATGTACATCATATATAACATATGTCGTCATCATGGTAGTTGAGACGTACCCAAGTAAGCCTATGCACAGTCTCACTGACTTCAAAATTGCAGGGCCTACAGTGGTACTTATTATCGAAATAGAGAGAACGGCATCTACTGTTGCATCGTCTGTGGAGAGTACATTTTCACGTCAAAGACAAAATTCTACTCGGGCACGGGCTGGCCGTCGTTCTCTGACGTTGTCGATACAGCCAGGGTACATCTAAAACCAGACGGCCTCGGCTGCGGTGAGTGTCTGCATGTAGAACATGCGAATAGGGACCGTATCTAGCACAGCGTCAGCCTAGATTGAGACTGTTCCTCGTACTACTCTCAGATCTATATTTCCACATTTCAGATGCATGTTGCAATTATTGATTCCCAATGGTTGTAAGTTGTTATGCGAGCAGTGTCTCTTGTAAGGTTTCTTGCACAAGAGTGGCCCTCCTAATTAGGAACCATATCTCAGCATGATATAAGGGATAGTTCTACACACATTGATCAGCTGTCCTACCTTGTTAATATAAAACAAACTGCATGTCCCTACGATGCCCCTACGCTGAGATAATGAGCGGTGAAAATCTGGTATTTTCGCCGAAAACCGACTCGAGTTTATTAATTCGACTAATACTGCAACATGGTTTCAGCATTTCACCGTTGTATGCTTTCCTTCTTTATACGCTCTTAATTGCTACGAACCATAATTAAGAAATTATATAAAAAGAATATATTCCTCAATTATGTTCTGCACTTCATCACACCTAACGACACTGTACTGCTTGGTGTTAGGCTGTGGAGGTTCACTCGTGCCATTGCCCAGCAGGGATGCTTCTGCTATGCGCATGGAGGTGAAATGCCACAACTGTGGTGCTCATATGGGCCACATGTTTGAGGATGGACCAAAACCGACTGGCAAGCGCTACTGTATCAACTCAGCTGCTCTCATCTTTCACAGGATTGTAGAAAAACCTGAGGGCCAGAAGGAGACACAGGTGTAAATTGGTGACCTGCGTTGTGGTGCATGAGCGAATTATGGATTGTTATGACGGCTATTGCCTTACTTTATAATGGGCGAAATGGGTTGACCTTCATGATGGAAATGAATTGTATACAAGATTGTAAAGTTCTCTTCCAGCAATGTCACATCGTTTGAAGGTTGTTGTTCACAGCCACCATGTAGTGAGCAGGGGGGGATCCAGAGGGTTTGGGTGACCAGTTTCCATATGTTCTTCTGCAGCTAGGGGGTCCGGGGGAATGCCCCCCCCCCGGAAATTTTTAAAAAATTAGGCTATATTTGGTGCATTCTGGTGAATTTTGAGGCCTGTGACCGGTTTCTGGAAACTGGTGCAAACCGGCCTAAATCTGCGCCTGGTGAGAACTACAGCCTTTTTACAGAGAAGTGGAAAAAATTATAGACAGTTACAGACAATAACAGACAGTTATGTTCAATTACAGAAAGTATATGTAATAAAATTACAGACGGTCTCGGTGAGCCAGTAATAAAATGTACAGACAGTAACTGAATGTTTCCAAAAAAACACTTCAATCGCACCTAAAAAGCAAGTACATGTGCAAAGTTTGCTGATAAGAGCTGTTCATTGTTCATAGATTATATCATCCGCAAACTGGTATCAAACTCGGTTCAATGTGCCAGTGAGTTCATTTTACTGAAGGGTTGGCAGAGAGTTAACTCGGCATCAGTAGCAATACGTACTTAAGCATGGCACTTATGCTATACATCATATTGATAGATTACGAATTCAGCATTGCTAGTGGTTAGATTGCGACACTTGTCTGCAAAGCACAAATATACATAGATGTAAGGCTGGTATATACCACTTATAGTGAAAACAACGAACATGCTCACGATATAAAAAGTTTTTGTCACATGTTTTGTTTAGTTTATTAAGTGTGTACTATCCAGTGACTATTAGTATTATGTGTTTGTGTGTGTGTGTGCGTGCGTGCAGGTATATAGTAATAAAATATAATTTATGTGGCACCGAGTTAACTTTCTAGCGCCCGCTTTAGTAAAATGAACTCGCTGGCACGTTGAGCAGAGTTTGACACCAGCTTGATGATAATATGGAGAACTATCAAAAGTTCTGCAAAACTCTCCTCGTATCGGCAAACTTTGCACGTTTTGTGCGTTTAAAGAGCTTTTACAGAATGCTCTGTAGCTGTCCATGGATTGTATTACGGTCTTTCTGTAATTGTCGGTAACTGTCCGTTATGGTCTGTAACTGTTATATTATAATTTTATATATACATAATTTTTGTCACTTTTCTGTAAAGATTCCATAACTCTCACTTTATATTGTGTCTTGTCCTGTACTCCTTAGTACTTTTTTGATTACTGAGGATTGTTTACGGCTGGTTAGTCCCACCATTTTAAAAGAAAGTGATAAAAATTGTACTTTTAGAAACTTTTAAAGATTTTACAATAGTTTTGCTATTTAAAAAATTGGTGTAATAGAATTTACACAGTTGTTCTATGAATACTTCTATTGATCACTTACCATTTTGTTATTTTCTGTCACCAAAGTTTGTTAGAGACAAACTCATTTGCTTATAGTTTTTTCCAAGTAATAAGAGGCAGCAAAGCCATAGTTGCCTGTATACATTTGTTGCTCTTTTAAGACCTTGTTTTCCTTGTTTCGTTTTCCCTTGTTATTAGCGCTGATAGGGTCTATACCGGAACGTACCTTGGTAACTATCTGATATGGTTAGGGTTATGGTTAGGGAGTAGGCGTAGGCGACTCCCTAGACTCGTTAGGCGAGTAGACGAGGTACGGTCCGGCATATTAGATAGTGACAGGGTACGTTTCGGCAGTACCCAGGGAGACATTGACCCTGGCAGCGTTATTAGCCTCTTGTGATTTGTTAGGTAGCAAGCACAGCCATAACGTTCTTTCAAAACCAGCTGAGTGCCAGGATGCACAAATCTACACATGCACATCATACGTGCACCGATGCACACGTGTGGCAATATTGCATCTGTTATAGCAAACGCTGTGGTCATGTTGTGTTGTTGTGTTCTATTGTGTTGTGCTTTGATTTATAACAATAGAAGCCCCTTGATACGGAATGTCAGTTAGGATATGAAATTTTTTATGTCGCTGACAATAGCATTTGTCCAATTTACTCTATTCTGTGCAACAACTAGTCTTCATTATTTTATGTAGAAATGTTTTGTGCTCAGTGATAGCAACACGAGTAACTTCATATAAGATCTAATATGATGTTACTCCTGATAAGTGTGGTGTGGGAGATCTTATGACTAAAAGCAAATATGCTCAAACCGTCTATCTATACGTGTAGTTCCGAGAAACGGTCATGTATTGAAAGACCATTGTTTAGAGACGATGAGGTTTCACAGCTGCCTCATGGTGCTTGTACATGATACATGCTCTTACAATGAATAATGTCGGAACCATAAAGTTTTATGGTTAATGATAGATGTTGGAATGATCGAGCAGCTATTTTTACTATATAATTATGCATGTGTCATCACACTTGTTTTAACTGCAGTACATCCATTGATCTTCGGAGATGAATGTTTTTGCTTTATAAAACCTCTAGTCAGATGGGAGATGTTAGACGACTCATAACCTGTGCCGCCTGGTGGTAGAATTAGAATCATGTCTATATATTTATAGGTACGTACATACGTGCTTCCCACGTGTACAATATAGCAGTTAGTGCATCAGCTTCTAGTGCACAACATCGTGTATCTTCCTGGTACATGTAGATCTTTGTGCAGCTATAGGGCCTATTGATGCCCATTGTCACCATTGATTATCGGTGATAGAATACACGACTTCTATATGCTTTGATGATCTATCTGTTGTTTCAGGTACAACTATAGTTTGCACTCGGTTATGCAACGTTATGTAGACTCCTGTCACTTTTTATTTCTGTGAGTAGGCAAGTAGAATACGTGGCAGTAGTAAGGCTCATTTTCGGTCCAACTACAACTACATAGGAGGTCGATAAGTGTAGTATGTTCAAGAGCGTATAAAGAAGATTTATACGCTCTTGGTATGTTCTACTGTGGTCAATTGATTTCATCCCTACCATTTTTAGCATGGATGCTAGCAACTTCATCTTCATTTGTATGCAAATGTGCACTGAAATATATTCATGCATGGATGATGAATTATCTCATATATTATTATGTGCCTATTATGTTAGTTGAAGCCAGTAGTTTTATTTTATATTATAGCCAAGATGCTGCACACATATCAACAAGCGGGGTTATTCAAGTTTGTTTGACATCATGCAGATGTCAGTAATATATTGATATGCATAGGTAAAATCGCCAGTTAATGTACTGATGTGGACAAAAATGGCGTGGCATGGAGATTAAAATCGTGTTTCTACCCACTAATATATATATATAGTAATTTCCATTACCGACTTTTGATAGTCCATCTGTATGTGTAGCGTCTTCATAGGGCCAGTGATAGTGCGTGGGTAATATTTATAATGCGAAGTTGTTATGCAAAGTTATTATAGTACACTAATAGCTTACTTTAACTGACGGTTTTCAGTGTTTAAACAGCATAAATTCTTTGCAAACAGACGAGTAGATTTTGTGCGCATTTCTGTAATTTAGTTGTACATGAGCATCATGAGCGAGTTGTGCATATTGTTACTGTTATTGACAAATTGTATGTCATATTATTAAAATGCTTTTATCTTTAATATATTCTTTCTTAAAGAATTTGGGGTCGTACTTACATAGATTTGTAGATGTCAGCTATATATTTAATCAATTTCCAAAAATCAATGACACCATTTTTAAGATGACCAATGACAGAATGACAGGGCTGGTCTAATGGATCTCTTACTGCTCTATTGCCGCGGCTACTGTCACTGCCCACCGCTACCTAGCTACTACTGTTGCTATTGATGAACAGTGATAGTACGGTGTACATGCTCCTATTGTTGATATTGTTTAAACTCAATGCTCTGTATAATGCAGGTCGCGGTTTTTTCTCAGCAGTGGGCAATTAATACAGAATGAGTCGACTAGGAGTCAAGAAATCTACACAATATCATACACAAAATGCATGTCATACAAAGAATGATTTTAAGAGCTTTTTAACGTATAATGTGAATAAGCCTCTACTAGTCAGAGAAAATCACTCCTTTGTTGACACTGAAAAAACCCAAGTTTAGCTCTTGGTTAAAAGGTCACCACAGCATCAGTAAAAAGTACAAGTACATTTTAGATCAGTGGAAGCTTTATCATTAGATGAGCTGACCTACGTCCTCTCCTCTGTATTGACCCACTGCCTATTCACCTTTGCCTGTTGCATGCTAAAGATACATGCTATCAAGAGCATATTAAGCATACTTAATACGCTCTTGATGCTATCTTCTCACAATAACTCGGTACAAGATTTTATAGAGTCACATTTCCCCTTCCGCTCCATGATCGTTGCCTCTTGACCTCCCTTCGGCCCATGTGCAGTCTTTCGGGATGAATTTTTATGTGCTGAATATGAAGGCTGTAGGTGACTCCGTTTATAGACGTTCTGCTGTTTTTTATCTACAGAGAGATGGATGCCGTTTCTATGCTACTTGCTGCATAAGGCTATGTCAGATGAGCTAATATAAATAACACTATACAGAGATTGTATTATGGAAGTTCCAAACAGGAAATATGTGCATAACATGCGCCTCTCCTGTTGTGAAATTTACTACTAATGAAAGCATGACAATTAAAATTTAATATCTCTACATGTGAATTTTATTCATCGGGGAATTATAATGATAGTTACAGTTAAGAAACCAAGTTCAAAATCGGCCCAACGTGGTTATAAGATACACATAACTCGAGTCCCCTTATAACTTCTAACAACATGAGATTGAAATTATTTTAGTTTGCTTGCTAATAATTGATTTATATGCGAACCAGTTAAATAACAACCAACCTGGTTTTCTTATGCAAATTACAAATTAAATACTTAATCTCTGTTTTTATGTTCAAATAAATCCCCTGGCAACCAGAAAGTGATTGTTTATCCAATGGTTGGTCATTTGTAGCTGGTCCTTACTGAACTACCTCATCTTCTGAGTCAGGTCTGGCATCAACAAAGTCATGAATCATTACATCAGATACCTCTTCCTGCAAGAAAAGCGTATAGAATTAAAACCAAGTGAAAGAACTTTCGTCATAACATGAATGATTGCACACAACACAAACTTACAGATTAAAACTTACACTTTTTATTCTAGAATCAGCATTGCCTTCCATCTCGCTCGCCTTTCTCTTCAAGGGGCTAGCATGTACGGAGGGTGGTTCAGACTCTGTGTCAGCCAGTGTGATTAGCTCAATGCTTGAATTGTCTTCTGCTCGTGTGCACACTGATGCTGGGAGATCACCACTTCTTTCACTATGTTGGAAAAGTTTAGCTTGCGTTGCATGACCTTCCTCCATTGATAACAAGACTGAAGATGCCAAAGCCTTGTCTTCATCATCCGAAACATCAAAAACTTCTATAACTTCATCTCCCACAAACTCATTCGTCGCCCGATCAGATTCTGTCGCTGGGATACTCAACTGCATTTGTTCAGCTTCATTTCGTGCAGCTAAAGCATTGCCTTCCATTATTGGTGAATATTTCCTCATAGGTGCCTTGATAATGGCATCTCCCATGTCATCACGTGTGCAACTATCTGGTCCGGATGATGACACAATCGCGTCGTGGTCATCCTTCCGCTCCGTGGAGATACACACGTCACTGGAACTTGGGAGACCGCCACCATCCACATAGTCACTAGTCCCGGGATGCCATATTTCCTTGAATGGACTTATTTCGTGCTCTTGTTTTCCAGATGGTACTGGCAATGCCTGCTCCACTGCTGTTTGTTTGTGCTTGCTAACTGGAGACTGTGCTGGTCGGGTAGGCTTCTCGATCAACATGGGTAATTGTAAGGATGGCACTCGAGGATGAATAATGGCTTCACAAGCTGTTAGAGCTTCTATACAAAAGCTGGAAACCTATAAAAATAAATGCGCTGGTTTAGCTTGGCAGAACTTAGATAGCCCTTAAAGTGGATAAACCTCGCAACAAAAAGCCTATATATACACCTATTGTGAGCATACTTGCAGTATGCAAACATCACGAAATGTTCTCATTGAGCCAGAAATGTGCTCTGAAGATTACTATTTTCAATTACCCCGTCGGACTCGGTTTTGGCAAAAATAGACAAATAAATGATGTTGAGTGAAGTGTCAGAGGATGCTAAATAGTAGCCCTATGCTAGCGCAAATAGTTCCTGGAACGAAAACACTATATTTGTTTCCTGATTGCATATGTAATGTAGATAACATGTGATTTAAACAAATTTCACAATTTCGTACCGAGTAAACATCGAACAATAAAGTATAACATGTGTTATCACAGAAAAGAACTGTTAATGCAGCACAACGTTCGCGCGGTTGTGTACCGGATGTGTAAATACTGTAAACATCCTGTGGTGCTACTTTCGTTTAGATTTTATGAAGAAATGTTGTGAAAGTAGCAATACAAATAAGTTGTAGTGACTTTTTGCAACATAGGCAAGCTCAGAGTAGGTATATATATATGCATCTAGCTGGGACGTTTATCCACTAAAAGACATAAAACAAGTGCCGCATAGCGACAGCGCTCATCTAACGTCTACTGCGGTGACTCTGTGGTGGAGTGGTGGGATTTCTTAAGTAAACCTGTAGTCCAACTTGTTTTCACGATACATCGCAACACATGGAGTGCACAGGGATGGTATCCAGGAACCTTCTCAAAAGAATGTTCGTTTGGGAATCTGTTATGAAAGTGCCCACGTAGATGGCGCCGTACGTTTAAGTGTCTTCAGATTAAGATGGACAGCTGCCCATTCATACGTAGCCAACAACTATCTCAAGCCAGAAATAGGTAAAACTCATAAACCATTACGCTATACGCAAGCCTACAGGCTGCGCAAATTAGAGAGCTGCCACCTTTACCCCATTAAGGCAAACATTCCACAGGTATCCAAACATGGCGAGTGGCATACGTTACATGTAACACTATCTGACACACAGAATCCATATAATTATTAACGAGTTAGGGAGCCTAAAACTTCTTTAAACCAAATTAGCTTTGCAAATTTCACTGTGACATTGTTCGCCTCATACATCCAGGCATGTATAGATTCTACTACAAATCCGGCAGTCAAATTCTTTTAACAGACAGGCAACAAAGCCCATTTTAACCCTCCTCTTGATGGTCAAAAGTTTAGTCCGACAACTGTACTCTTCGCATGTCAGCAGAGAGGGACATTTCATGGTCCTCTCAATTAAAAGCTATAACAAAATGCTAGGTCACGCTGAAACAAAAAAGTTTTTCCAACTCGCTCCGCAAGACGATGTCCTCAGAAATGTCTAAATCTGCCCTGCTGCCCATTTGCGCTTGACCATGTGACCATCAATTTCGGCACAGTGAGTGGTTTTCCTACATAGATGCCTGATACACACCGACTAGCAAAGCTAGGTGATGCGTTTAGATTTGGTGCGGCAATCTGCATTTCCTCCCTATACTAAGTTTAAGGAGTAATGTTCCCCCTTCTTTTAGCACCTCTTGACCTTTGAACTTGACCCCACAGCTTCGACACACGTCCCCCAATCACGTTTTGACAGATCCCCCCAATGTGCCGAATATCGTGACCGTACGTCGAGCGTTAAGATTTGTCGCCCAACGTTGACGACGGCGGACGGACGACGGACGCCCGGACGGACGCCCGGACGGACGATCATGCGATTCTACAAGCTGCATCTGACTATGTCAGATGAGCTAAAGACACTATATCACATGAGATTTTTTACTTGGCACCAAAAAAATATTTAGCCAAGACTATCAAATATGGTGCATATATAATAAATATATATAATAAAATATAATAATAAAACAATAAAACATATAATAAGTACCATCAAGGTAAGTCAACTTGTATGAAAACAATGAATTCAATATTTAAATTGAAATAAAAAAAGCAACACAAACAAGTTGACACATGCAAATTTAAATCTGCTATATTTGTGAAACTATCAATTGCCATTGCCAAAATGTATTTGTGTTTACTGTTTTAACTGTTTTACTGTTTTCACTGTCTGGTAGCAAGAATAATATCATTGCCACAACATAGTTCTGGCACTGAGCAAGTTTCATGCTATTCAGCAAATATGACACATATAAAGCCACTATTAATTTAGAAAAATGCACTTACTCTACAATAACACAGAAGTACATATTACCACGAACATGTCTACGTAACTGCAAAGATATAGTATATTGAATAGTTATCTTCATGATAACACCAAATATCAGCATTTTAATTTCTTATAGATATATATACCCTGTAGCTTAAAATCTAGTTGAACGATTTCAGGACTAGACACAAGTCTGCATTAGGCCAACTGCAACAGGCTTCGCCGTCTGAGAAAACCACGGGGTCTAAAAACGGCCCCATCATTTACTCAACGGGGCTGATTTTTTTCTAGACGTGACTGATATTTTTTAACTGATGAATTATGTAATAAAAGCTTTGTACATTCATATGTACTGTTACTATGCTTATTCACTACTACTTGGTATATGAACTTATAGCAACCAGTGTTCTTTCTCGATTCGACTTTCGTTTTCGATTCTCGGAATCCCAAAATTTGAGAGAAGTCGGCAAAAAAGCCCCGTGGACACCGGAGACGGGGCTGTTTACGGGGCTTGGGCCGATCGGCCCCGTGAAAAGGCGAAGCCTGCTGCGAGGGGTCATATAGTACTCTATGAAACACATGACATTAGAGCTGTACGTCACCTCAATGTTCCCATCATTCTGGCCCGTGGCAAACAGTCTCAGAGCAACGTGTAGTGGAGGTGGCAATCTAGGATGAGGTACGAGCATGAAGCTAAGAAGCACGTGGTATAGCTCCTTCCTACAAGACGGACATGCTGCGTATGTAACGTGCTTCTTGCCCTGCTGAATCTCCAAGAGTGTGTGGATGATCAGCTCATGGAGTGCCTGTTTGTAAACAGACAGAGTAACACTATTAAAACTAATATTATTAGATTATTATTATGATTAGAGGTAACACTATAACACTATTAACACTCTTATTATCAGAGATTAGTATTATTATTATTATTATTAGAGGTAACACTTTTAACACTATTAACACTACAGTCCGGCCTCCTTTATCTCGCCACGTCGGGACCGGCACCCATCCGGATATGGGATTTGGCCGGATATGAGAGTTATGCTCAAATACAGCATTTCTATGCAGTTCAGTAGGGGTTATGCATGTTATAATGTATTTACTCGTTGCTACGATTGATTATTTGTAACAAACTGTCGTGTTTTATGGTTTATATAAAATGGAAATAAAATGAAATAAAACAGAAATTTTACCACTTCGGTTTGTTTTTTTCTTTTGTGCCGAGATCTAGGGCTGTAACAATCGATACACTCGCGGCGTTGTATGCCTAGGCCTGTTACATGTGATCGGCAGCGGTGCCTTTGATTGAAGTACGGGGCTCGATCGATCGCGAGTGCGTAGCGAGGTAGCATCGTTTCACTAACGTCCGACAGTAAGAGTTGTTCGTTAACGAACAAAAGTTGTACGGAGGCATAGCGGACAACACACACACGCACGCACGCACGCACACACATTTTTGTTCATTCATATAGTATACAATGTATATATCTTTTATTCCTTGGTAGTTTTTACAGCATCAACAAGTGAGTATGTATTCGTGAAATAATCGTATATTTATACAAGTACATGGGCGTTTGCTCTTACGGTAAGTGCGTTTGTTTTGTGCATGTGATAGCTGTGCGCTCTTATGATAATCAATGTGTGAGAATCATTGGTGCATCGCGTGAGTTTTGAGCGAGCTTTGAGCGAGATTTTTAGGTGGAAATGAATGAAAAAACATAGAACATAAACTGCGAGATCGCGGCCGGTTAATAGAGATTTCCGGATAACGGATGGCCGGATAAAGGAGGTCGGATTGCATTATTATTAGAGATTACTATTATTATTATTATTATTATTAGAGGTAACACCTTTAACACTATTATTATTAGATTATTATGATGATTAGAGGTAACACTATAACACCATTATTATTACAGTCCTTGTGTTTTAAGGTGCGCGATCGCGCTGGCGCGCCTCGATCGATCCGGAGAAGTGCGAAAAAACGCGCATCTAAGCATTATCAAAACGCGCACCTCGCTTCGTGTTTTGTTTTTTATTAATTCAACTTATAAACTCGAAGATAAACGCAAACGGTTGTAAACGTCACGGACATTGCAGGAAGTCGGTTCACATGTTTATAACGACAGTTGTAACGTTTATACCAACAGCAGTCTTTAACATCAATTCATCCGCTCATCATTTATTTATCACCGATGAAAGCTTGGCTTATCGTTGACTCTGCTATTCTTCCGTTACACACTGAACCGTATACACACCTCTCGACCATCGTAACTCACAAAGCCTACTGCCTGCGTTGACTGCTTTGCACCCGAACCCACCCAAAACTAAAACCGTCCGGCCTATCATACGCGAGCCATACATGATGAATATGACTGTTACTGTATTCAATTGCTACAGCAGATCGATACTGGTGATGAAGATGCAGCTGACAATGAAATTTAAAGAGCCTGATTAAGGTTTTTAGTGAATTTTTATTGCAAAACATGTATGTTTTCTTGAAATGAAACTGAAATACCTCAAATGGACAAAAATGCAAACAAGTGACTGAATGATTATGATGTTGCAAATACTATTAAAGTTTTAATAGTCTGCTTTGAGTGTTGTTCCTTTTTGACTAAACATGCTAAATGTGTGATTCAAGTTATCCATCAATATGTTCAAGAACTGATATTTTGTTAGATGAAAAAAAATCACCTAAAAAATGTCCAAATTAAGAGTACAAATGCAGAGCAAATTTTTATCCCAAAATGCTGGAAATAGCATTTCATGAAGTCTAGATTTCAAATTTTTTCCGGGGGGGCATGCGGAACCCCCCTAGTTTGCCTCGTGACCTGCGGGCACTCGGATGCAAATCACACACCTCGGCAAGCCAAGGCGTGTGATTTTTCACTCGCCTGCCTTTTTCAAAACACAAGGACTGTTATTAGAGATTATTATTATTAGAGGTAACACTATTAACAACGCAGTGCCAGGGTCTAAATGGCACACTTTTAGGATTGCTGTGATTGGAGCAAGAGATAAAATGATCAGGATGTGGTTGAATGTGCACTTTCTCTATGGTATCTGGCATGTTTTTATGTTAGCAGATGTTATTATAGGGGGCTATTCTATCCAATACATACGCGAATCACAGGGAAGGAAATTAACAGATAGATTAGATTAAAGAAGTATGACTTTAGCAGAAAATCATAAATAGTACCTGATGATGTTTTGGTTTGATTAACATCCCACTGCTATAGATCAGCAACCGGATAGCTAAATAAAAAATAAGTAAACTTAGTGTCACGTAGTATTATTCCCCTCAAAATTACAATAGGATATATATATATATGTTTAATTAAAACAAACATTCATTACATACACATTTTATCTTTAAAAATAGAAATAGAAATGATATATATATATAACACCAGCAATGAGCAGCAACCTTGCTTTCAATTTTGACCCTGAATTGTAAGTTTATTTAACTACCAAACAAAAAAGTGAACACGTCACAATAATTATTGCTAAAAAAATTGGTGGGTCTGACTAAGAACGTTAATGTTTATATTATAAAAACATAATAACAATATTATATATATATAAATAAATAGATATATATATATTATCTACGAGTTGCTTATACTAGGTACCCTTCAAGGCAGATGATACAACTCTCTCATTCCCTCTCAGATTTCGGTTGTGCTGAGCCGAGGTGCTCTCTGCATTTACTCCGCCACCCTTTCTCTTCTTTTTACCCTTTTTTTGACTGCTACTCGCTGTCAATTGGTGTGGTACCACATGTAGCTAAAACATTTGACCGCTTTGATCACATCATCAGTTCCATTATTAGTTTCAAGTAACTGTACAACACATACGACCAAGTTCCTAACCTCATAGCGTATTAATTTTATACTGCTTATATTTCTAGATATATACAAACCTGTAGTATTGTAGACGGAGGCATTATGTCACTCGCAATGTGTTCTATAAGTTGGTCCTGATACTCCTCTATTCCACTAACAGCGCCGGTCACTATAAGCCAGTCTGCCAGCACTGCATACACGGTTTCCTTCAAAGTGCTGTAGAAATTATATATCCATATATTATTTGGCATGCAGTCATCATCACTAGTCTTTGTTCCACAACTGCTACTGTAATTAGGTTTTATTTGTCACTTTTAGTTTTATACAATATATTTTTTATGTCAATATAATCATGTCATATATTTACGTCGAATAATATGCAATAAATTATAGCTATATTATATTACAATTAGAAAAAAACAATTTAATTTAATTTTATGCACTTATATTTGGATTCATAGTGTTACCCACTTATAGTTATACAATTGCACCAGACAGATGGTGTAACTGTTATATAAAGCCACGAATACTTTTATAATAATATTTTACTTAGTTACCTAACAGATTATCAAAGGTTAGTTAAATTACTAAGATGATCAGTGCTCAAAAATATCATAGATATTATTAAAAGATGTGTTTTCTATTCAAACTGTTAATTACTACAGTAGAGAAGGATCACTGCTAACAACTCAAATAATGATAATCAACCTTTTCAAATGCCTATTTGTTAATGTTAATATTTCAATTCCAAGCTTTTGGCCTCTATTACAGTCTTGGCTTTCCTCAACACAAATGCAATTACCTTTGTTGCAATATATTGAAATTTAAAAGTTGAATAAGATTATAAGCCGTTGCAAAACTATTTTCTTGCTTTTGCTTGCTTACGCAAGTATCCGTAGTGTCCATAGCAATGCAATTTCACAGTGTATATTGTTATTTGCAGATACAATTGCATCCTGGAACAGCAAATTCATTCATGACTTCTATCAATTATATTGTCAGTAATTTATTGAGAATCATTGCAAGCTAGTACCACAGAGAGCCAGCGCTTATCTGTCGGTTAGTGCTATACTGTTTCTGCCATGTATCAATGGATAGTACATTTCATGGTTTTGATTTCTTTCATAGTTATGAAAATGGTAGGCCAGTGCCCCGTGGGAAGGCCACCAAGGAAAGTCTGTAGTCAAAATATCCACCATGAATGTATTTTTGTATGAGTGGATATGTTGTGACACAAATAGCGCTTTTTGAATATGTTAATTCTCTTGATTACATGTTGATATTTCTGCTATAATACAGCTACAATTAAACAACAGTAAATGAAATGTGTACAACGAAATATTGTATTCAGTAATTAACAACATGCACACTGCCCTGAATCGCAAAGGGAACTTAAAGATCTTATAAAATAGACAGACCTAAACAGCTTTTGTGGCGAAGATGTGGATGTCATCCATTTCAGAGCTTGAACAAACAGTTGGTTGATCACACGACTTGATGGAATCAATTGTCTTCTACAGCTGAAAGAACATTAAAAATGAAAAATTAACCATTTAACGATTGTGTTTAACATTACCAGTATATTTAAGGCACTATACATATTTTACATGGAAAGAGCTGCATAAGGCATATATAGACCCCTCTCACAGGACCTCGTCACTTTAGCAAAAAGGTCAACCGTTCAGGCAGTCATCTGACTTTAAAAGCCATTAAGATTTTGGTAGTCACAACAGAGCATTACTCAATTTATACCAGATACTGCCAAATAATCCCCTACATGCCCTTAAAACCAATCGAAGATAACACATACAGCACAACCATCATGTTGAATGAAGATAGTGGTGAAAAGGTAAATTGTCAGGACCAAATCTTACCACAAGATGAGGGCTCGCAGCAGCTTGAATGCTGAACAGTGAATCTTTGGCAAGACTGCAGCCAGCATTGCATGGTCAACACTGAAACCCTAGAGTTAAACTCTAAAAGTCAGAGTTTGTATTTAAATATATTAGCAAACTTCATAAATTTACCACAGAAGGTTACTTCTTTTTTTTAAACCACGAGGACCAATGGTCTGACTGCTGTCTAGTCAAAATCCAGAGAGACAATATTTCATTCAAAGTAAATACCAAAAATTATATTCACATTGATATTAGCCACGTTCACACGCAGCAAGAAATTCGGTATTTAGCACAAGGCAAAATGCGCGGTCCAAGAAATACGGTATCTAAACAGATCCGGTATTTGATGTAAATACGCGGCTTCCCAGACCCCGAATAATTTGCCGTGCTTGAGAAATACCGGATCTCTTGGACCGCGCATTTCCTCGTGTGAACGCTAAATACCGTATTTCTGAAGCCACGTATTTTATAGACTGGTCCGCACTCGACAGTTCCAGTGTAATGCGAGTGGAACTGTCGAGCGCGGACCAGTCTACGTATTTTATCGACAGTTGGTGCGCATTGCATTGTTTATTTCTCATTGTTCGCTTGATTGTTACTAAAGCAGCTCGCAGCTCGCAAATACGGCATTTCTGGAGCCGCGAATCAGTGTGTAAACGCTCGGCCGCGTATTTGTCTCAGATTCGGTATTTCGCAAATACCGTATTTCTGGAGCCGCGAATCAGCGTGTGAACGCTCGGCCGCGTATTTGTCTCAGATTCGGTATTTCGCAAATACCGTATTTCATAAATACGAGGTCTCGTGTGAATGAGGCTAGTATTTAGGATCATGAACACATCATAGCAGCAGTACCAGATGTGAGGCGTTGATCGAGTGCACTCGACAAATCAAAGCAAGGATGTTATCATGTGGCACGCACACAACAACTGCTGTCATGTCACCCCTGAAACATTACAAGTGCAATGATAAAAATGTTTTAGAGGCAGTCATTAATAAATATTATATGGTTATTATAATGCTAACTATCATCCAAAAAAAGAGCAGATACTTGGTAGTATCAGGGTTCTCCCCAGGCCTTGTGGAGTAAAGAGCATGTGTGTATGCGAGGAGGATGGCAGACATAAAAACAAGCAGAAAGCATATAACTGACCTTAGCAAATCACCTAAAATAACAATCACTAAATTAGCCATACATATTATCAGGAGTAAATAAAAACTTTTTTTCAATTCACTCCTGGTATTAATTATTATATTATGTATTAGAACTCACACTAATAGCTGCTGAAGACATGTTCCAAGAGTGCAAAACAAACTACTTGTATGAAAATGTTCTCCAATCAATAGGCTCTGGTCAAAAATTCCAGATTGTGATGAAGTTCCACCTATTTGTAAAATGTTAAAGTTGATTTAAAACAACATTAGCGAAAGATGGGACTCTATAGAAATATGTATATATATAATTTAACTCTCTCTTATATATCATACTGTCTCTCTTTCTATCGCGATGTGTATCACAATAAGTATCGTATTGTGACCTACGTATCGAGATACGTATCGTATCAAGACCCTAGTGTATCGTTACACCTCTAAATATAAGTGGAGACCAGCGGATATTACCCACTTCTTTTTCCCCAAAATTGTTTTTTGAGGAATATTTCACTTATTATATAATAAAAGTCAATTTTTTAAGGTTTTCACATAACAAACGTTATTTTACGGAGTACATTACTTCCATGTCTTGCAGTATCACTGGATATCTTATCATCTTGGAGAAATACACATTCATACCTGTGTTAAAGTCAACGTATAACAAGTCCAATGCATCATTCATGGAGCCCAAAACCTTTTCACAGATCTCCATCCATGATGTAGTGTAGTTGATACCATGGTGGCCACTAGAACCACACTGAGGCAACAGAGCAAAGCACTCACTAAGTGCTTTAACCTGTAAAGAAAAGGACTATTTATGGACAGCTACAGTATTATTATGTAATAAATTATGTCAGCCACAACATTGTTTCATTTATAATCATCATCATAATTAAGTATCATCCCCAAGTCACTACAGAAACCACCAGGAATTACATAGCAGTGAACAAGTAGCACAACACCAGCTTACAAATACATTGACTGGGGCTTATATAAGTACAGTAACACGTGCCATGCGCTACGAAAACTCGAATTAACAAATTACGTATGTGCAAATTTATACAAGCCGATCGGCTTGTATAAATTTGCACATACGTAATTTGTAAATTATGACCACAACCTGAAATACGATAACTCACCCATACGTAATCATAAATTAAACTTGGGATACAAAGCATATTGATTCGCTCTTACGGAATGGTTTAAAATATTGAGAGGGTTGTTTTACGAGAAAAGTGGCATGCTCAATCACCGTAAATAAAATTAATGTAATAATGTCTATGCTATGAATATAGTCTGTCATAAACTTTGCATGTACTTACATTTGTCAACTCAGCAGCATTAGTGGACATTAGGTCTACAAGTAGAGATTGAATCTTGCTCTGGAAATAATTACATGTATGCTATGATAATTATAACATGTATAGAAAAATTTCAATCAATTATATTTCTCCAATTAAAGCTATATATATAGTTAATACTACTATTTACACAGACTGAATGGAAACACTGTAATACTGATTTACGCATGCTAGCATATATCTACATAATCAGGTGTCGAAATTTCCCAAAGTGACCCACTAGCCAGCATGACTATTAAGAGAAAAGGAATAAGGTATGTGGAGGAGCCATGTTACAAACTGATTGCAGTATTCTCCACAATACCCTGATAGGTTTTGCCTCAGTTTTCCCATCCCTACTTAGCCTAGTCTTGGTCTAGCAGAAAAAGCGATCATTTCGACTGCTGGCCATAGTACACAGTTCAGTAAAACAAGTCATATGTTCACCACTAAATAATCTAGTTTTTCAGAAATGAAAACAAATGGTAATATACTAATCTACATATCAGCAGAATGCCCTCCTTCTAATACCTTCATGGGGCCGCAGGAACTGGGAAAGTATCTCATGCAAGCATACAAACACTTCCACGATCCAACTGAACTCTGCAATAATATCAAAATATCAACAGATTTTCTTTACACTATTAAAAAGGGTTGTCTGCACTTTACTTATGAAAGAAGTTCACACATTGCAAATCAGATGTATGGCTTTTATTAGCACTAAAACCCTTCAAATTTTGTAATGTGACCATGTATAGCAAATAGCTAGCATTTCAACGTAAATGGAATAGTGATATACCTGTAGTCTGGTTACGAGAAGCACAGGGATGAGTTGTGGAATCACTGAGATGGCAACCTGCTGAACCAGCTCATGTTCACCAGGCACCTGCTGTAGTATTTCAGCCACTACCAGAGATGCTAACTCTTTCACAGCTACTGATCCACCCGACTGAAATACGGATGTACATATATATTCACCTATATCATCATAAATTATATTTGTATATACACATGCATATATACAGCTACAGTATGATGCAAGATTGTTTTAACAAGCTCAATTAAACATACATGCATGTACTTAATATTCATACTGGAATAAGTGTATACAATAAAAGGAAAAGAATTATGTACCATTTGCAAATAGTTTCAATGTATAAGAAATTGCATATGAGCCAAAATATGTCCAGGATTCATTCCCACAAAGGAATGCATTTTTCCAGGACTTATAGAAGATCCATTTTCTAGGACTAGGGAGTATGGTTATATATCATTGTATCATATTGTATCGTATTGTATTGTATCTTATTGTATTTTAATACTTGGAAATTACAGTATTTTAACAGCTTAACATCTCCAAGATTATTTTCTATATGAAAATGACTGTTGTCAGATATACAATACATGTCCTTGTATTTGAATTAAATGGAAAAAATATTTCATACAAATAAAATAAAATTGGTACCTCCTATCATCTTGTAAACTTGAAATTATTATTGGCACAGTGAATGAGGACACAATAGAAACATGCTTAATTTCCAAAAATCTTTAGAATTAAACATAGTAATAGCCTATTTTTCTATTATATTTTTAGGAACATATAGCCTGCTTTCCGGGACCTTTCAGACTAAGAAATTGAGATTTTAGAATAATCAATTACAGGACCTTTCATGTATTGCAAGACCAATATGAAACATGTATATATGATTTTCATGGTGTACATAACAAACCTGCAACAACTGCAGCATTCTGTGCAGCCACCCAGTGCAATGCTGAATGAAAATTTCACCATTGCACTGCTGAACTAACTGATGGAGAAACACCAGTCCTCTCTCGCTGTAAAACATTATAAAAAATCATTAGTTGCAAATCAAACTATCAAAAGTGCTAATTGTAGACAGAATATATACATTATTAGATGTCCACTCCCATACACTTACATACATGTGACAGTATTAAGTTAACATGTACAGTAATTGTATCATTCAATGTTAATCCTGTACCAGATCTATCCGCTAACTGTCAACATACTTTCGCTCATAGGGTCTATGTCCCCCAGGGTACTGCCGGAACGTACCCTGGTAACTATCTGATATGGTTAGGGTTAGGGTTAGGGAGTAGGTGTAGGCAACTACCTAGACTCGTTAGTGGAGTAGGCGAAGTACGGTCCGGTATATTAGATAGTACCAGGGTACGTTCCGGCAGTACCCTGGGGGACATAGACCCTCTCAGCCATACTTTCACTCCATTAAATAATATGAAATGGCTGAGCCAGGTGAAGTATAAATATGAAACCACGAATACACCTATAAGTAATGCTGAAGGGGTCGTTGTCATATATGTAGTACCCGAGGTGTCGGCGAGTATGCCGCCTATGCCTACTCCCTAACCCTAACTAAATGTTCTGCTTACCGGGAATTCCTAGAATTTATAGAAGAATTGACCTTTGTTATCCAATCAGAAATTGAGCCTTGTTCCTGAAATAAAACATACTGTATGGTCAATGGACATGTATACGTCTCAGTTCAAAGTGCATGAATTGTATCAGTGCCATATATATTTTATACACTCACGCACGCACACACACACACACATATAACATAGTTTGAGCAACAGCAAAATGTAAGTAAATGTATACCACCAGAACTTGTCTACAGTACATGAAGAAAGCCAACACTTAAATGCACTGCTGTGGACCCCGTTTCTTTTGTAGTAATGGTGGCACGCACTATTATATATTGTATACAATTTGGCAAATTAGGACGAGTTTAAGTAAGTTTGAACTAAGAATGGCGAACATTTTTATAGTACCTTGGATTGTATTAATTGACTGCCACATTGTGACTTGTGTGTCAAAAATATTGTAATAGTTGACATCTCTGTTAAAATCCACTGTCACGCAATTAATTTCAGATTTTTTGTCAAACTGAGCTAGGCAAAACTGGTGGTCTTTTCATAAGGTTTCTTTTATCTTATTCATCTCATAAAATAGGCCATAAGTTGGTGAATACATTACCCAGGAACACCCAGTTACCATGAGCAAACCAGTGGTTCATTGATTTGTTTGAGCTATTACGTGAAACTCTATCTCTTAATTTTTATGCATAGGTGTAGCTCAGTAAAATATCAAGATGACACATTTTCCCAAACTATTTTACTTTACTATTAAGCCTTGCCAATTCTGCAGAATATGAATTTCGGCAGATGTCGACAAGTGGCATAACTTATTAGGTAGGTTGTACACATGACATAACACACTACCAATTAAGGTTTGAGGTGTCTTTAAATTAATGACGATTTCTTGGAGCTGTCTACCCAAGAATGAGTTTATAGGGGTGGCCAAGGCGATGGCATTGTTTGTTTTTAATACTACAATAATTTTATACAGGGCCGGATTTACACATTGTGAGGCCCTGATTAGGCAATTGTTAACAGGGAATAAGGCTGGGTAACAACTGAACTTGGCAATAACGCTGCCAAAATGCACAACAAATTCGTGTGGAGGAGGGCTGCTCGTGTAGAAATTTAAAAGGCCGTGGCTCCTCGACCGGTAACCGATCACCAATGTTCCATGGCTAAACAACCGGTTAACAGGATGGACCAATCAACAGCGAGCTTTCCTTGCACGCCGAACACTATACTAGTTGCTACGACAGTGGTGCTGCCAATTCAATTTGTTGTTTTATCAGAACACTATCAACACATTTTTTGTAATGAGCACTATTAATTATTCATTTTATTGTGAACCAATAATAAAACTAGTTTAAACAGTACATTTAGCAGCGGTTACAGTGATTTTAGTAGCCTCCCTTCCCTTCCCTTCGCGAGATGTGTCCGGTCGAGGAGCCACAGCGAATTTAAAAATATGCCGAAATCAGTATTATCAAAAGTAGCCCTAGTAAAGTAGTAACTAGTATTAGTAAGTAGTATTTATATCTACTTCTGGTATTATTCAAGCTGAGATTTTGAGCGGCCCCTTCAGACCCAGGCTTCAGACTGCGCGAGGGGCTGAAGTTGTACCTTCTAAGGCTTCTTTAGCTTATGCCTAAATCCGGCCCTGTTTTTGTAACATCGTCTGTGTATCTACCTATGCAATTAATTATATTCATACTAATTACTATCATAATCATTATCATATCATATGACATATATTTTTGAACCGTCCGTTCGTTGTATTATTAATATTAATAATTATAATATTAATATTATTGATTTGTATTATAAGCAATAATTTTTTGCTTAAGTACACTAACATCGTTTAAACACTCATATTCACGGAGGATCCTAGAAAGCTGGTTGTCAGAGTTTCGGCTATTCTGGTCATCAGTATTAAATTTGCCTAGCATAACCGTAAACACATGCTTTCTCATGGCGGCTGCCATCTTTTGAGGGAAACGCTCGCAGTCGCAGCTCACCAGGGGCGCTTGTACCGTGTCGGAGTATTTTGACCTCTGACCCACAGACTAGGATCAGAGCTAGGAACAAGGAATACATTGTATATTATTGTGGAGGAATGTATTATGACTGAGCATATAATAACACATAATGTACATATATGTATATATATATTATTATATTATATATATATATATATATATAATATATATATGAATACTACCTAATATGTACAATGTGTTTATAATAACATGCGCTATCAGAGCACGCTATATCCAAGTATATATATATATTACGTACTGAGCTATATAATAAATAAATAAATATAACGGTATAGTATTAATATATATATATCTATATTTATTTATTTATTTTATTTTATTTATATATATACTTTATTATATATATATATATATATTATATTATCTATATATATATATATATTTTATATATATATATTATATTATAATTATATATATATTATCAAGAGCGTATAAAGAAGGCCTTATTAATACGCTCTTGATATTATGCGTATATGAATATATTTGATAATATGATATGATATGATATGATAATATGATAATATTTGGCAGTTATAGGAAATTTGTTTTAATCATTTTATATGCACTGAATCTGCTGGCCACTAGCTTCTTTCAAGCATTTGAAAAAGTGTAGATTTCAAAGTTTTATAAATTTTGGAATTTCGAATTTGTTTTATTATTGAGGTGGGTATCAAATAGATTATCTTATTACAGGCTCTGTATTCCATGAAATTCGCTCGCGTCATCGTAGGTGGTAGCTCTTATACCTCCTCCAACCTTCATCCTCCTTCCTCCACCACTCTCTATACCTCCTCCCCACTACCTCTGTACCTTACGTCTCTCTCCTCCGTCACACCATCCTTGCTAACATTCGCATATATCTCCCCCTCTTTTCCATCCTCCGTTCCCTCGTCATCCTCCTCGTTCTACCCTTCCCCTATCTCCCCCTCATACTATACCTTATGCTTCTTTTCTCCGTATCTACAACCGACTTCTCATCCTCCCTTTCCTCTTTATCTACTACGAACCTGCTCTCCTCTCCCTTCATCTACATACCCTCCTCTCCCTTCTCCGTTACCTCCTTCTTTTTCCTCTACATCTCCTCGTATTTCTCCGCTTTCTCCTCCTTCTCCTTCGGCTCTTCCTCTCACTTTCTCTTCTTCCTCCTCTACCTCTTCTCTTCATCCTTCTACCCGTCACATCTACCTTCCTCCTCTCCCCTCTCTCTCTATCTCTTTCTCTCTCTTTCTAAAGAACTATCTCCCACTCCTCAGCCTCCCTTCCTGCTCCTGCTCTTCCTGCTCCTCTTCTCCTCTCCTCATCTACCCCTCTCTCTACTTTACGTCCTCCCTCCTTTATCGTGTACTCCTTCTCCACCCTCCCCTTCCTCCTCCGCCTCCCCATCCCATTCCCCTCCCCCTCTAGCCTTCAAATCCACCCCATCGCCGGTCCCCTCTCCTTTATCTCCTGCTCCTCCTACTCCTGCTGCTCCTCTTTCTCTACCAACTCATCCTCCTCTACTTCCTCCTTTTCTCCCCTTCACATCTATCTCTCCTCTCCCCTCATTTACCCCTCTTCATTCTCCCCTTCCTCTCCCCCTTCCCCTCCTCCGCCTTCTTCCCGTCCCCTTCTTCCTCATCTACTGACTCTCCTCCCCTCCTACCCTTCACATATACCCCCTCTCTCTCCTCCTAAAGATGAGAACCTAAAGAACCTTCTCCCACTTCTCCACCTCTTCGGCCTGCTCCTCCTTTCCTCGCCTCGCCTACTTCCCTCCTCTCTCCTTTACTTCCTCCCTCCTCTACCATGTACCTTCTTCTCTACCCTCTCTCTACCCCGCCCCCTGCTCCTCCTTCTTCCCTCATCTGCCTCTCCTTCTTCCCTCCTCTGCCTCTCCTTCTTTACCTCTTGCTTCTGGTACTCCAGCCGCTCCTCCTGCTCTACCAACTCACCTTCCTCTACTTCTTCCGCTTCTACCCATTATATATACCTCTCCTCTTCTTTCATCCTTTACGTATCCCCTCCTCCTCTTCTTCCTCCTCCTCCTTCTTCTCCTCGTCCTCATGCTCCTCCTCTTCTTACTCCACCTTATCCTCCTCTTCTGCCTTCTGCTCGTCCTTCACCTCTTCCCACGCTTGTCTTTTACTTTCCTCCTCATCCTCCGCCTCCCACTCTTCTCATCCTCCTCCTCTACTATCTCTCCTCCTCCTCTCCTACCCTTCACATCCAACACCTTCTCTCTTTTCGGCATTACCTCCTCCTGCACCTTCTCATCCTCCCTCCCTCCCTTCCTCCCCTCTGTCCTCCCTTCTCTTAATATAACCTATGCCTCTCTCCTTCTTTATCCCTATCGCATCATTATCTTTGTCTGCACAACCACTCTTTATCTGATACGTATCTCTTTCACCTTTTGCCCTTTCCCCTCTCTTCTTCACCCCACCTCTTTCTCCACCGCCCTCCACTTCTTCCTCCACCGCTCCCACTCTTCCTTCCACCTTCTCTTCATCTACCCCTCTCATTCTTCTCCTAAAGAATAATCTACCAATCTTCCTCCTCCTCCGCATTCTCCTCTACCTCTTCCCTCTTCTACCTTGATCCGTTCTCCTCCTGTACGGCTACTCTCTTCCTACTATACCTTATGTCTCTCTCCTCCTCATTCACTACCACTTTATCATTCACTTTCTCTACCTCCTCCTCTTTCCTTCCCTCCTCCTGCTCCTCCTCTACCACCTTGCTCCTCCTATTATACCTTATGCCTCTCTCCTCCTCGTCTACTCCCACGTCATTCTTCTCTTTCTCTATCTCTTCCTTTCTCCTTTACATCCTCCCATCATCTCTTCTTTCATTTACCACGTTCCTCCTACCCCTCCTCTTCCTCTTCCTCCTCCTCCTCCTCCATCGTCTTCGACTCCTCCCCACTTTCTCCTCTGCTACTTTCATCTACCCCCTTTCTCCTCCTAATGAACCATCTCCCCCTCCTCCTCCTTTAGTCCCTCCCTCCTCCTCTACATCCTCTCCTATGCATGTATACATAGTATTGCCTTTATGATATGGTTACACAAAGGTTTATGTGTAACATTAATAGTTTTACTGTAGTGTTTTAGTTTGATAACAATGTTGATACCATGGCCGCAGCTAGCAGCGGCGTTGGGAGGGCGCAGAAAGAACAGTTGTCCCCAGAGAAATGTAGATTCATTATATGGTCAATAGCTGTCACCTTCCCAGGATACACAACACACGTGGCTTTGCCCCACCCCAGCCAAAATGGGTTAGCTACGCTGAATTATTCGCATGATTTAGCTATTGAGAGGCACCTTGAAGTTGAATGTTTAGTGATGACTCTCGTGCGGCGTGGGTTAGGTTAGGTCATGACGATAGCTGTTGTTAGCAAGCAGTTAACGCACATATGCTGCTATTATGAGACATTATTATGATACATTCTTTATATATAGTAATAATACAGTTCGTTATTCTGTGGTAATAATAATGTGTCGACGTTGTGGGGACGGCGTGCGGCCATCGTACCTGTTGTCTGTCTGTCTGTCCGTCTGTCTATCTCTCTGTCCGTCTGTGTGTATGTCTGTCTAACTATCCCTCACTCTTTCTTTCTTTCTCCGTTTGTGTGTGTGTGTGTGTCTCTCTCTCTCTCTCTCTCTCTCTCTCTCTCTCTCATTCTTTCTTACAAGCCTTAATTGGCGACGTAGAAACCATGTGTTATATTCAAATACGAATTTGTACGCGCTATCCACCAAGATCGAAAGGCAACTGGATGCGTGGATGTGGCGATTTAAACGGGGGATTAAATGTATTGTTTTTCCTGTGAATCGGGTAGTTGATGTGTTTGATAGCGTACGTGCTCGTGTTGTTGTCTTTATCAACATCTTATCAAGAGCGGATAATACCTTATTGTGTATTATTAGCTCTTGATCTTATTCATCTCAGTTGCACATGGTTGAATTTCAAAATGTTTTATACCTTCCATCTCCAACATTGTATGCATTACAATAGCGTCAAATATAAATGCCCAGCATTAAATTATTTCATTTTCAATTTGGAATCTTGCTTGGACTTGTAAAGAGCTTGGAGTATGAAATATCGAGGTTACGCAATGTGGGCGAGCAATAGATATTTAGATTACACACATTCCATGAAAGATTATAACACTAGTAATGTTAGTTACACTTGTTTACTATAACTGTTTTATTTCAATATTCTCGACGCGTGATTTTTGTTCTAACTATTGATACAAGCTTTCGGAAAATATTCGACATAGCTAGCTTATACAACAGAAAGTAGTTAGCTACACATGCACTGTCTATACACACTAACAACCCCGGTCTCTCGCTCTTCAACTCCTGTCTCTATCTCCAACTCGATCCTCTCTCCGTATTATTATAAGTGATATCGGAAAGTCCAGCTGTGTTACATAGGTCATAGAAAAAGGGGGTACAAAATGGCCGAGGCGTGCTTAGGAAAATACACGATTAATGTAAACACTCGTGCGTTTTTAGTTTTTGCATTAACACAAACATTACAAAATATCCCAAATGACCACAATCATATTCGTAAATGTTTCTGTAAACAGAAACGCACCTGTAAATTGAAGTATGATGCTAGTGAAGAGAATTATAGATCAAAAACCTAAACTAGTTCTATCCTAACTATGTTATATACAGGCAAGTTATACCCCCTCTTATCTGATCTCAATATGGCGGCGGGGACTTTCCGATATGGGCTTATTGGTATCGACCTTGTAGCCGCAGCTAGCATCCCGGCGATACGCTACATTATACCATTGTTACCGGCGATAATGATATAAATATCTATAAATATATAAATAATAATATAAATATATAATATATATATAATGATATAAGCTTCATCGTAAACACAGATCCATAGCCCATAGCAATGTTACTAAAATTTTGAATTCGTGGTTTCGCTACGTCG